TTGATAAGGTAGACGTGGGATGATTATCACGATCATCGAAGGTAGTTACTTGAGGTTCTTCGCAATTTGGCGATGAAGTTGAACACTTCTCAAATGGTTCTTCCAAAAAGAGTACATCATCACATTTGGACTTGCCGTATCTCTCCTTGAGTGTAGTCCAAATGAGATGAGCATCTTCAAGCGGCATGATGGTTTTAAATACATCTTCACTCAAAACACTAAATAAAACATTAGTAACTTGAGCATTGAGATGTATGCATTTCTCTTCCTCTTCAAATGATAGCAATTTATCATTAGGAGGAGAAATGCTCACATCTACAACTCGCTCTATTTGAGGACCCATGGTCCTAAATATGTCAAGTATGCGAGTACTCCAAGAATCATAATTTGAGCCATCTAAAAGGAGTAAAGGAACCATATCCACCAAACCACTAGTCGATATCTTTACTCTCTAAGCGGTAAAGCCCTAAATAGAGAGACTTGGCTCTGATACCAATTGAAAGGACCTTGATGTCGCCTAAAGGGGGGGTGAATAGGCGGTTTTAAAAATAAATGCGGAAGCTATAACAAAACAGGGTCAGATTGTCTAATATCAGGTCGGATAGTCCTATGTGATCGGATAGTCTGAACTGATATTAGACTATCTGACCTGCACAACAACAATATAAACAAGAGAACAACCTAAGAGCTCTAGATTCAATCCACAAGTAAAGAGGTGAGCTCGACCAACAACAATATTAGCATAGCACAAAGTAATGGAACAAGAAGGTAAAGAGAGTGAGGAATTCACCGAGGTTTACGCGCCGATGTATTTCCCGGAGTTCAAATCCTTAAGGGGATTCTAGTCTCCGTTGAGGGGCTCGCAAAGAGCCGGGTCTTTTTCAACCCTATCCTCGTGAGGTTGCACAAATGCACTCCTCCTTCCACTAAGGGTATCTCTTTCCTTGCGGAGACGAGATCCGGCCTTCACAAACTTCTCTTAGCCAACCACACGTAGATCGGTGGCCCAAGAACGACACCTAGTCGTCTAGGAGTCCTCAACCTCCAAGAGTAATAAACACCACACAACTCTTGGACAAATCCTAGTGCTCAAGATTAAAACAAACACACACTAGGCTCCCAAACTCCAAATCCATACACAAAGATCCAAGTCACAAAGAACAAGGGGGATTTGAGATAGAGAGGGAGAGAGCTCAAAAATCCAAAGCACTTAGCACAAAGCTCAACCCAAAGCAAGATTGGAATGAAATCAGTTTGGGCAACCCTAGAAAAGGGTTGGTGGGGGGTTTATGTAGATCCCCCCAAAATGTGACCGTTGGAGGGGAATCTTTCAGCCCACGTCGGATAGTCTGATACAAGATCGGATAATCCGATATTTTAAACCTCCAAGGCAACGAGAAACAGAGAACGAAGTTCCATGAAATTTCGGACTTTCCGAGGCATCGGACTATCTGATGTTAAATCGGAGTATCTGATATTTTAGAAGCAAAAACTTCGTCCTCAAACAGAGACTCAAGTTCTATGAAATTTCGGAGTCTTTGTATCATCGGACTATCTGATCCAACATCGGATACTCCGACACTTAGAAAAACTCACTCGAAAGGATTTTTCAAACAAAGACAGAGAGTGAAGTTCTGTGAAAAATCGGATAGTCCGATACATCGGATAGTCTGATTTCAAATCGGATAGTCTGATGTTGCTCAAGTAAAAATGCAATAACTTTTTACTCCGAACTCTGATTTCGAAGATCTTGGACTCTATGGAAAGCTAGTTTCGTGAGCTATCAAACCCAACATAAAACATGGTCAAAACATTCAATAGATGTTGAAACACTTGCAAAGAAACCCGGTGTAAGTGTTGTGACAAGTGAAACAACTCGGGATTAAAATTTTGGCATAGGTTTTTCAACTCACACAAAGATGAAGCATTTTGAGCACTAGTATTCAACCAATTATATGCATGTGGTATCCCTCTTAATAGTACGGCATCCTAAACTCAAATTTAAAAAGCAAAGTTATACCAATAGGAGTACGTTCACACCATATTGTTTCTTCACTTGGAGGGTTACCAACGTCAAGGTCATTTGATCATCGGGAAGATCTCATCTTCTTGATCTTTGACATTTTGTCTTCCATTTCTCAAATGATTAATGCGGATAATCCATGGCTTCAAATGGCCTCGCACGGTTCATCACGGCACAGTCTTCATTCGCCCTTCACCACCGGTTTCGGTTTTCGTCAGCGCCAAGCCCCTTGCTTGCCCTTCACCACCGTATGGTCCATCGCAACTAAACTAAGCGTTGCTTGCGCTTCACCGTCTTGCCATAGGTAGTCACTTCATACCCGCATCTTCAATATCTTCTCTTTAATTATCATCCATCAATAAGACCATTTCCTAGCTTCTTCATCGGACTAATCACTTGCTTCTACACTCAACAAGTGCATTAGTCCCTTAATCGTTTGTCATCAATAAACCAAAACCCACTTCGGGCATAGATGCTCTTTCAAATTGTCAAGGATATAAAAAACAGAGAGAAAAGAATGGCGCACGCTGTACATGGGCAGGGAGGGAGGGAGGTTTGGGATGTTTTTCTAAATGATTAATCTAACAGACTAAAATAATGTGTCAGATGTTTATGTCGAAACCGATGGTCAGATGTTTTATTTTCTTGTCAGAATTTTATTAGGATTTTCTTTGATTTAAGAGAACAACATAATATCTTAAGAGCATTTATAAGATGTGTAATCATCTTTTAACACCGTATGCCGCAAAGGAGGGAGGGAAGAAGGTTTAGGGTGTTCTTTTTTTTTAAAAAAAAAGATCTAATGACCTAATATAATGTGTCAATTAATCCATTGAAAAAATGTGTCCATCGATTTATGTCATATCTAATGGTTGGGTTTTTTTTTTCCAAAACTTCTAAGATTTTTCTCTAATTTAAGAACGCCATATAGCAGCTTAGAGGCATTTATAATATATTTAATGGATTTTAACACCGCACGGGGATGGGGAGGGAAGGAGGGAGATAGGTTTGGGTTTTTTTCTTATTAAAAAACTAACAAATCGATAGCCAAATGTTTTGTTCTGTTTTTAAGATTTTCTAGCATTTTATTTAATTTAATAGCACCACGTAGTAGTTTAGAGGCATTTGTAGAATATTTAGAGTCACAGAGCGAGAGTTGCTAGACCTAATAGGTGGAGGTATCTTTGTGATTTTTTTGATGTAAAAATAATTTTGATTATGATTTCTCATGAACATAGCTCGTTGGTACGTATGTGACGGGAGGTTCGGAATGTGTGCTTTTTTAAAAAAAAAATCTAACCTTCTAATATAAAAATAATGGATCACTGATTTAAATAAAAATCGATGGTTGGATTAGAGTGCACTTGACGACCTAGGAGCGTTTGTAAAGTACCATTTGGTGAATTAAAAGTATTTATAAGATGTTTAATGAACTTTTATTATATAATTGTCTTTTTTTGAAATTTAAGATTTTATTTAATTTAAGTATGTGATATAGTAGCTTAGAGGTGTTTACAAAATGTTTAATGGATTTTAACACTGCACAGGGGTGGGGAGGGAGGGAGAGAGGTTTGGGATTTTTTTTATTAAAAAATCTAACAACCTAGATCCATCAATTTAAGTAGAAATCGATGGTCCGTTGCTTTGTGTTTTTTAAGATTTTCTAATACTTTCTTTAATATAATAGTACCACTTAGCGATTTAGAAACAGGGAGAGCTGCTAGTTCTAGTAGTTGGTCTATTTGTGTTTTTTACCTGTAAAAGTATTTTTGTTTAGTTCTAGTAGTTGGTCTATTTATGTTTTTTTACCTGTAAAAGTATTTTTGTTTTTATTTTCTCATTAAATAGAAAATAACACATGAATGAAAATATGGAAAGACAAAAGGGAAGTACGTACAGTACATACGCACGTACGTTCGACATTACGAACGTTGGTTCCGTATATGATGGTTCTGGATTTTCTTTTTTCTTTATAAAATAGATCTAACTAAATCCAACCATCCAAAATAATGGGTCCACCAATATAAGTAAAAATAGATGGTCAGATTTTTCTTATTTATTATGGTGCCACTTGGCGATTTGAGAGTGTTTATAGGGTGTCACTTGACGGTTTGGGAGCGTTTATAAGAAGTTTAATGGATTTTTAGTATATAATAGATAGATTTAGTAAACACATTATTTTGTGGATTTAATCAAGATTTGATTGAGAATCGGTGCCTTCTAAAAAAAGTTTAGATTGATACAAGGAAGTCATATGCCTTGAATAGTACTTCTATAAACATTAATTTTGGATAAAGTTTAGACCATGTATTTTGGGTTCGATTACAGTTTGCCCATAATTTGGAATTGGAACCTCATGGTTGCACTTTGGACCAGGGTACCTATCATCTCCCATCATGCTTTTGCTCTTTCTCTAACTTGATGAAACAGACAATCACTCCACCATACACCTAGTTTGGAGAATAATATTATGAGCGTTACTTATAGAAAAATGTTGCATTTTATAGTGTAAGGGCATTGACAATACGATGACATGGTGAGTGGTGTAGTGCTTCCCCGTCAGTTCTGAACTACCACATCAATTAGGAGAGCAGCCTGTGCATGTAAATATATATGCTAATGAAAGAACAGCCTTGTCTTACAAATTAGCTTGCCGAAGGAGGTGTCTTGGGGTCTGTTTGAGGGAGCTTCCAGATTCTCAGAAGTTGGCTACCAATCAGCTGCTTATAATTTTAAGCTCCCCAAACAGACCCTTGTACAAGCTCATAACAATTGCTTTTTTTGACCCATTAAAGCCACCATGTAATGAAATATATTGTACTCAACGATGACCTTACCCTCCGTGGCATATTCGTCTCTGAGACTACACAATGAGACAACTTCGCGTTGTACATGTCCTAAGAAAGCCCAAAATAACGTGTTGTCTTGAAATATAGAGATAGGCATGCATCTCTCGAGCTAATATTCCCATCGAAAAAGAATGAATCAGCCGAGTTAAAAACATATAACATTTTCTTTTACTAGTACAATACAACATTACCAGCATTTTTCTTTTCTCACGGATCCATCCATGTTTCTATCTAACTACTGTAGTATAAAACTTCTGTACACATGCAAGAATCTTTTACAAGTTTCTGTGATCCAACCAAAATTCAGAGACTTCTGTTCTGAACAAAGTAGAGCATCACCATCAATCCATCACATGGCCCCTATCCTATCCTGTCCACTGCCCACCAATTAGCGAGGTGCATCTCAGTTTCGGCCATCGAAAAAGCAGAGGCCTCTCTTCTTTCTAATCTTCTTCTTCCTCTTTCCAGACTTCAGGATCAGAATCAGATGCTGCAGAGCATAGACTGTACACTGTAGTTCCATCGATCTCCCCCAACTGTATTTGTCAGCCAATGCTGATTGCGGCTGTTTTCAACAAGTCTTCTCTACAATACTGCTAATGTGGGTCGCTAATATAAGAACCCATTAGACATGAAACCCATATGTCAGGCACTCAAAATCAGAGAGATCTGTTTCCGCCTCGATGTCGCCGGAAATGGCAACAGATCATCATCGTCAACAACCAACCAACCAACCACCAGACGAGTAGAAAGCTTCTCCTACCTAACATTGTAGTTGGCGCCATCGCCATGAAAGGTGGTACCACACACGATCACGTCAGCGTCTCGAGCTATTAGCAATCGCAGTCACACTCACATGGCTGGTCGTCGTCGTCGTCGTCGTCTTCAACCTCTGGACATAGCTATTAGCTAGCTAGCATTATTGCCTCCGGCGTTTGGAGGTGGTGGCCGGGAAGCAGCTGTCGGGGGAGCAGATGTCGGGGACGAAGGCGGTGGTGTCGGGTCCGCCGCCGCCGCCGCCGTGAGTGGCGGCTGGATGGCGTTGCCAGTGGAGGCCGGAGGCCGTCGGCGGCGAGGGGAGCTCCGGCACCGACCACTGGATCTCTGGTACCTGCCCGAAGAGCTCGTCGGCGTTCCGGTCATCTTCCGATGACGACCGGTAGTACGGCGAGCCGTCCGTGCTCCCTCCCAGCTTCCCGCTGTCAGCCTGGTCCATCCATCAATGACACGACAAAATTTTATTTCAATAGGATTTTACCAAGATCAGGATATATCACTAGTTTCCGTATCTTATAGTATAATATTAGACGATGTATTCATAAAGGTTGAGGTGTAATTGTGATGTTACGTGTACAATGGTGTATGCATCTTCTGAGTTTAAATAGTATATATTGCGAGAATTTCAAAAAGAAAATTGTATCCGGCCAAAATTTGGAAATAGAAATTGTATCTAGTAATTCTTTATTTTTTTTAGAAAAGAAGTTGTATATATTGTGCCGATTAGTGGTGGTGATTGCAATGCGTGGAAGAAATCGATCGAATTGAGTTTGAAATGTGGGGAAATTCAGCGAAATTTGAAGCGGCGACGAGGAGAAAGGAGTAGTGACCTTGGAGGTGCCACTGTCGCCGAAGCCGAAGCCAAAGCCGCCGGTGAAGTCGGTGAAGCCGCCGAAGAACTCGCCGAGGGGCCAATCCATCATGCCGCCCTGGCCGCCGAACGCCGGCGCGCGTGGGCTCCTCTTGGTCGGCGGCGGGGTCGTCACGGTCGCGGTGTCCGTGTGGCGCGGCGGCGGCGGGGAGCCGAACTGGTCGACGACGGCCGACCAGTCGGGGAGGCCGCCCGCGGCCGGCGAGTCGGCGGCGTCCCAGCTGAACCCTCCTCCGCCCTCGCCGTAGAGCGGCGCCGGGTGGTCGCTCTTGGATGCAGGCGGCGGCGGCGGCGGAGGAGGAGACGGCTCAGGCGGGTCAGGGGAGTGCTCGTCCTGCTCCTGCCCGACCTGCACGCCGGTGAGGAGGAAACGGCGGTGCGCGGAGACGAAGGCGTTGGCCGTGTGCACCGCCACGTCGCAGCTCCGGCACAGCAGCGCGCGGTCCTCGAGGCAGAAGAAGTACGCGTGGCTCTCCTGAAGACGAGCAATCACCGATCAGCCCAATCCAAGATCCAACAAGAACAAACAAGCACCACCGATCGAACACCTACCTGGCATATGTCGCACTTGGGCGGCGACGGCGGCGGCGGCGCGAGGGCGGCGGCGGAGGAGGAGGAGGAGGAGGCGGGGGAGAGGAGAGGGAGGCGGAGGTGCTTCCCGGCGAGGCGGTTGGCGGCGTGGATGTCGCGGTCGCAGCGCGCGCACAGGGCGGCCTCGTCGGCGCAGCAGAGGACGCTGGCCTCCGCCGCCTCGCACGCGCTGCACAGTAGCTTCATGCGTGCGAGCTCCGCCGCGGCAAGAACCCGAGCTCCTCCTCCAGTGGTGGTGGGCGAGGAGCGGAGGAGGAGGAGGTGGTGGTAATATGGTGGAGGAGGAGGCGACATGGGTGGGGGGCGATGGAGAATGGAATGGAATGGATTCGTGGGCGCGGTGGAGGTGGGACGACGTCGCCGGCTGCCATTCGCCGAGGTCTCAACGCCTAATGGCCGCACAAATTGTTTTTTTTTGGGGGGAAATCCGTCTTAAAATTGCAAATTCAAAAGCTGATCCAACTATACAGAAACAGCCATTTATCATAGTTATCATATTCATGTCTATATTTCCTGATAGTGATTGTAAACTGTACCATCCATTGTGAGCTTTTTTTTTATATGTCTTTTTTTAAAAGAAACGTCCTTCATGACTTTATCTTGCAAATTAAAATTTACTGGTTTTTTTATGTGTTTTCTAGCAATTAATTTTACTAAGCTTTTATGTGTTTTCTAGCAATTAATTTTACTAAGCCAGGCATGAACACATGGCGAAATTAGAGACCTAGTAAAAAAAGTATAGTACTCCTAGCTTATGAGCGTCTATGATTGTAATGTTTTTCTAAAAAAAATCTTATAATAAACTTAGAAAATATATTTATTTGATTTTTTAAAAGAAATTTTGATATAGAAAATCTTTTAAAAAACATACCATTTAGTAATTTAAGAAAGCGTGCACAGTACTAAATTAGGACATAGCTAATACATAGCTGAAAGTATCATTTTTGAAAGTCAAACAAATATTATAAACTTAGAAAATATAATTATTTGATTTTTTTAAAGATATTTTGATATAGAAAATATTTTAAAAAACACACAATTTAGCATTTTAAGAAACATGCACAGTAATAAATTAGGACATAGCTAAGAAATAGCTGAAAGTATCTTTTTTTAAAGTCAAACAAATATGTTTTTCAAATCTTTAATAGTTAATATTTAATTGATTATATATAATGACCTGTCTCGTATTGCATGCCATGATGAGCTCATGAGCCGCAGCCGGATCGAACACACCCTTACCTGTCCCGTACTATGCCACAGCTCCATATTTACGATACTCGTTAAATTTGAAGCTCGTATGTTACATTATAGTGATTTAAAATTTTAAAATCTTATTTAAGATATCTAAATGTTACCGATGTAATCACAGATCTAAATTCATAAATTTGTGAAGTTAGAAATAAAATATGAAAAGGCCGACCAAGCACTAGTCCACTTGTTGTTTTAGGAATAAGTTCACTTCTCTCCCAATTTATCGCCGAGTCTAAAATTCGTCTTTAAATATGATATGTCCCTTAACTTCTAAAACCAATGCAAATAATGTCCCAAGGCAATTTGGATGATGGTTTTGGTGAGGCAGTGTCTACATGGCATTGATAAAGTCAGAAAAAACCATGAGACCCACACGTCACTAAGTGTTCGGTTAAAAGTAAAAAGAAATACAACGGCACTCACGTCATCACTCTCTATCCCCTCTTCTTAACCTTCCTCATCTCTCTCCCTCTTGTGGTCGAAGGAGAGTGGCATGACCACACCATCGCGGGAGAGGATGGTGGCTGCTGATCACCTGTGTCAGCCTCCTTGGTGCCGCATTGGCGAAGCAGGCTGCCGCGAGAGAGGACAACACGGGAGTCACCATAGTTGGTGACAACAATGCGGCTGGGCCCCACAACGGCCACCATGGCAGTGGAGCCCACTGTCTGCTCGCATGTGTTGGTGTTGGCCTCCTCGACGCCACAGACCTCGCTTTCCGCACGAGCGAAGCAGGCCGACAACGCGGGGATCTCCGCAGTTGGCGACAATGATATGGCGGGGTCCCACGATGGTCACCACGGTTGTGAAGCCCATCATCTACTCGCCTGTGTCGGCCTCCTCGGTGCCATCGACCTCGCCATCCACCCTGGTGAACCACGTCGCCATAGCCTCCTTCCACCGGGCCTGGTCCTTGTTCTTGACATCAACGCCATCGCTGTCGCCTGGCAGCAGCTTCCGAAGTCGCACCTCCTCCGTGAGCACCACGTGCATCCGCTTCCGGCACACCTCTGCACGTGGGACCCGCCATGCCCGTCGTACACCGTGAAGAACCTCGTCATCCTCCTCCTTGCTATCCTCTTCCACGTCGCCGCTCCCTTCCATCGCCGCCTCCTTCGCGGCGGCCAAGAATGGCGCCACAAAGAAGATGGCGTCTTCCATCTCCCTCTGGTGCCCGACCACCGACACCGTCCCATGGAACACGCACGTCGGCCATCTCCTTGTTTCGTCGCCTTGCCCTCTCAGAACAGTGCATTTCCACCGCCACTATCCCCAATTGTTTTGGCCTACACCACCAACAGGCTCCCCGAAATCCGGCGACCCCATTCCATCCCTCGTCAAGGTCCAATCGTTGTTGGAGTCGTTTTCCCTAACTCGGGTGCAGCTGTTCCAACATCAGCATCCCATGGGTCTGGCCCTTGATTCATGCCACTAATGAAGTTAGAGCCAAGTCTCTCCTTCAATTGCATTCCCTCTGTGGTGGGCTCGGGCGCTACCTTAGCCGACTCTAACGAGTTGGAGGAGCTGTACGAAGCCAGCCACACCCTCTTCGTGGCCTCATCCTCCGCCACCGCGATGCCATCCGGCTAAGCCTCCGGAGCTCAATACCACATGGAAGAGGGATAGGGAGAGGAGGGAGAAGAGTTGACCGCTGGCATGTGGGGCTCACTTGCCACCTCAGCCAAAACCGGACACTATACTGCCGATGGACCAAAGTTGACATGGTATTGTAAGTCAGGTACCTGGTAGCTTGGTTTCAGGAATGAATTTCAGACTTGGTGACAAATTGAGGGTTCTAAAGTAAACTTATTCCTTTGGTTGGCACAGCTCCAACTCCCAACTCCAACTTATCTGGAGCTAGAGCTATGCCAAACGGTTCAGATCCTCCATTTTTAGGAGTGGAGTTAGTAGAGTTACTCCTAAAAAATGAACTAAGGGTGTGGGGCTGGGTTTTTCTGCTCCACAGCTCCACTCCACCCCAAAAGACCCACTACCCTTTAAATTTTTAACGTATTTACAGCAAAATACCACTGACCTACCCTACCCAACCAAGCTCACCCCTCTCATCCCGTACTCATCCTCTCCCATTGCTTCAGAGCGCATCCCGTTGCTAGGGTTGGCGGCGGCGCATCTGGGCCGGCGACGCACGGCGGCGGCCAGGAGTAGCGCAGGCACGTGGGCGGGCGGCGCGTGGTCGGCCGGTGGCGTGCGGGCGCTTCCGGTGGTGATTTGGTGGGCGGGCGGGGCGCGGTCGGCCGACGGCGCAGGCGGGAGGCGTGTGGTCGGCCGACAGTGTGCGGGCGACGGCTCGGCAATTTTTCCTTTTTTTTAGATTTCAGATCTGGAGAGAGAGAGAGAAATAGGGTGATTTTACATGTATATTGGGTGATTTTTTGTAGAGATATGTAATTTCCCAGGTTACTATGATTTTGCAAATTGCGTTGTTGAAATTCTAGAGAAAAAATCAGCCATACATCACAAAAACATGAAAAATCATAAGGGTACTGTTGTCATCCTCCCCCTAGGATTGGCAATGGGGTGGGTCGGGTGCGGGTTGGGCTGGAACACCCCCGCCCCCACCCCCCGACTTCTCCCCCGACCCCGGCCCCGCGGAGGTGGTCGGGTGGAAAACGCCACCCGCCTCCGTCCCCGCAGTGGACCCGGTGGGTGAGCGGGGCCCTGCAACACCTGGCTGGGACGGTGGACGGCGAGCTGGACGACGAGCTGGATGGCGAGCTGGAAGACGACGAGGCGAGCCACCGCCGCCCGCGGATGGCTACTGCCGCCGTCGCCGTGCCTGGCAGTCGACGCCGCCGTCCATGCCCTGGCCACCGATGCCGTCACCTGTGCCTAGCCCCGAAGTTCTGTAGCTGGCCAATCACTTTTCAATTGACTTCTAGCTCCCACCTTCTAGCTCCCACTAGAGCTAGCTCCCATCGGAGTTGGAGTTTGGAGCCCTATCAAACAGGCTCTATGCTGCCAATGGATCAAAGTTGACACGGTACTGTAAGTCAGGTACCTGGTAGTTTAGTGTAGGGATGAATTTCTGACTCGGTGACAAATTGAGGGTTCTAAAGTAAACTTATTCCTTTGTTTACCAAAATGGCCGTAGCCAGCCCGGCCCATGTAAGGCAGCAGGACCAGGACATAGGCTGCACATTTCATAGCTAGGAGCCCGGACTCCCTGTCTCTTGCTGCATGGCAGCCACTAGCCTCCTCCCAGTAAAAAGAGAAGATGAGTGTTAACCCATGCACGTGTACACCCAATTAAACATTGTTTGATGTCAGTTTTATTTTTTTTCAAATATTAAATGATAAAAATGTTGATAGAAAACAGTTCTAATTTGCAGGTACACTTACATCTATGCAGTTAATTAGTTGGGCCTATTTGCCTAGTACAATCGCAAAAATCAAGGTGTTAGAAAAGAACATCTTATGTATAGTTTACTCCTGCTGTCACAAAACATAAAAACTTATGATTGGATGAGATATATCCTACTGCTACGAATTTAGAGAAGCTAAGATATTTCTTATCCAGTTTTAGTTTCTTATATTTTAGGACAGATATAGTACATGCTAACATGAAGGTCTAGCCCCATATATTATTCTCACTTACGATTGTATTTTACAAATCACGTATCTTTGCGATAATATTTTTCTAAAATTTTCCATTAATTAATCAATCCTTTATCATTGTAATATTGTACCGACATAATTATTTTTTTTCAAACCACACCAAAAATATTTATCTTTCAGTAATATATGGGAGAAAAAAATGATTATTTAGCAACTGAAATGCTAGAATTATGATTGCTCTTATACGTCAAAGTTTCACGAATGTTTCTTATGTTGCTAATGTTTCCTTCTTAAATCAAGGATGTGGATTTTTGAACCATCTTGAATGATGGCAACGGGATGCCCGATCTTCCGTTAGGTGAAGATAACTATCAATTTGGCGAAAAGTATACACACACGATCCGGTTTCTAATCAACACAATCCAAACCCTACAATCGCAACATCACGTCAACTCTAGTTATCAACCCACTGAAACCCAGTTGACCTCGCCGAGAAGGCTAATCCCTGTGTGTAAATCGAAAAATACAAGTAAGAACAAGAAAGATAACAACTCAATTGCAGATAATGATTAATCAAGAATTCGAAGTTGGGGTGTTCGAAAAACCGATCTAGCAGCAAAACCGTGATGGTAGAAATTATCTAAGTAAAACCCAACCCTAACTCAATGACGGTTACTGGACCCCTGGATGCGTACCTATTGGACTAGAGACGATACACGGCCCAATGAACCCAAAGACGATAACACAGCACCATGATAGATTCTAAACTCCTTGTTTCGATGATTCCCATTAACTTGGAAGGAATTTTGACGTGGGACTAGATACATGGGAAAGGTGGTCTCATTAACTTTCCATACATATGATGAACATTGAAATCGGAGTCCAAATGCAACTTGAGCGACGAATTTAGTGTGGACTACTCTTGGAGCCCGAGGTCAACTCGAACTTGATATGAGTAGGACCTCCATCTTAACTTGAACATCCATAATGACCTTGTCTATCTCCTAGCCTCTCTCTCCATGCACTCCATGGTACTCTCCATAGTTTCTAATCATAATTAAATTATTAGGTAATAATCTATCCTCAAAACCATGTAAAGAAGTACTTAGAAACAAGCTCACTTGAAAATTTAATTATCGAATGTGAGCTCTAGTGATTGGACCTTGCAAAACAACTTGAGGAGTAGCATGTGTATCTGAAGAAGTGATGTCCTGATCATTGAGTTTTCTAATTATGGGTAAATTGGTTTTTTCAAGATGGTTAGAATTTTAAAAGTTTATCCTAAACATTATGACTGGATTGAGCAATTAAATTTGTTTCCCACCATGTGTTTCCTACTCAAGGGCATCTGCTTGGTGGCCATATAGATTTATATGGTGCAACCAATTATTATTTAATTTGTGAAAGGACATGTAACCTAATGTTTACAAGAGCCTCAGTAGCACCTTTGTTCTTTGGTTCGACTCCCCTTAGCAGTGAAATTTTCAGGATTTAACGGCATTGTAATTTCAGTGGTAGACGACGTACCCGTTGACAGCGAGGCGTCTGTGGTGACTTCGTCAATATCAAGGATTTGCCGGCCTAATCTTTGAAGATGCTCATAGGGGTAGGGTTTGTGTACGTGCGTTCATATGGGTGAGTATACGTGCGTTGTGAGTGTCTGCATTATACCGTGTAATTTTAAAAATAATTTTATTTAATTTAACAGAGATGTTAGGGGACGGTATCCTTGTGTGTGATACCCTCACTGCCTCCCTGAACAAGTAGATCTTATTCGGTGCTTGGAATTAATTACAACCGTTGATCATCAATAATCCAACGTGTACCAGGAAAAAGGTATTAAAAGGGTGGACCAACTATGAGAGGTGGAAGGTTAAAATGGTAATTGACTTTCATAGTTGATTTGTGCAGTTAATGGCAAATGCGTCATCTTTTCAATATTTGTATCTATATTCTCCGATTCGTTCAGGACAGCAAGCTCACGGCGGCCGTGGCGGTCGCTGCCACTGTCAAGCGTGCCTCCCCGACCCATTCCAGGCGAAGGTGGAATTGGAGGTGGTGGTGGCTGTGGTGGAGGCGCACGGGCTCCCCTTCCTTCGTAGTGTGCCATCGACGACCGCGGCCGTCACCGACCGTTGCCGTCGCCGTCGCCGTCGCTGATTTCGAGTGTGCCTCCCGCTCTGCGTCGACGTGAGTTCACCATAATGGATTTTTTGTGGGAATACAATTACACGATACCACGGGACCTGGGAGGATCAGAGTAGAATCACTGTAGCATCTCGCGTGATTGTCTGCACAGCAAGACCCGTCGAGCACTTCATTTGCCGCTGTCGTGCGAGTACTCACACTCATGTAGGTGGGACGAAGAACAATAGCGGCAAGCTGGCAGCCGAAACATTTCCTTAGTCCAAACTGCAACCTTTTGACAAGTTAGATGGTGTGAAATACAAAGTTTAGCAAACCCTGGTCCAATATGGAATTCACTTACTTTTTAAGAATTAATCATGCATGAGTTCAACAAGATTACCATTCCCAGAATCAAATTAAGTTAGCTTGGCTGACTTGGCTAATTGGCGCCGCCGCTGCACGCGCCCTTCACGCGCGCCGCGGTCGTAGCCGCCGCATGCGCCCATCGCTCCCGCCTGTCACCGCCGCCGCACGCTCTGTGCCTGCTCCAACCTCGTTCTTTCACTCGGGGTATAGGGTTAGGATTAAACACAAAGGGAGGTTTCAGGGTCATGCCAATATTATGTAAAGCAAATAGGAATGTAGCAATTACTAAGCTACCCTTGTTAATATTATTTCCTATTCCTAAATTAGTATGCTATATGAATGAACGGTGGATTGTTGATTTGTTACTGAGGTACCTCCCAAGCACTGTACAAGGGAGCAAACCGTGAGCCAACTTCCAGCAACATGGCCGTGTCGCCGCTCGCCCGAGCTACCCCTCCCACTTCCAAATAATCCTTGCAGCCACCTCTGGTTCTGCGTCACCGCCGCCACTAGTCGGAGCATCTCAAATCCTCTCTGCTGCCACCTCCGGATTTCCACGGCCGCCGCTGCACCATCTACTGCCGCCATGAGCTTCGGGCGAGAGAACTGTATATACGTAGTTTCAGTACAGCAGGATTAGCAAGTGAAGTATATTTGATTATGTTTTTAATTCCTTCAGGCATGCATGTGTGAACAGCTTAATTTTGGTCATAGATTGAACTAATATAGTTATAAAAAGATCGACCTCTGTGTGGGCTTGAAGGTAATACTTCAGCTCTATTTGTAAGCTCGCGGGTTCCTGAAAGGGAAAACCATAGGTAAACAAATGGTAAACTTTGTTTGTTTTATATGAAGTAATTTCCTTTGTACATCCCAGTCTATTTGTTTAGCTTAGTGCTTATGTAAGGGACTCTGTAGGTGATAACTCTTTGGTAGTTCTCATTGTTAACCTGCATCTTGCTTAGGCATCAGGATAACCTGTGGCCGTAGAGAAGTGTTCCCTTCGGGTGGAACTACCTAAAGAGACGATAAGCCTTCAGCTAGAACGAATATGCTAGAGACATGAGAAGTTGTTTGTAGAACACGAATAAGTTATTCATATGGCGAGTACCGAGTAGGATTTTTACGTACCATTGATTAGAGCAGACCTACTGATCTTTTAGGTTTCGCCACCCGCCAAGATCATGTACAAAATAAAATAAAATAATAAATAATTTAAAAATACCAATCCTGGTTATTTGTGTGAATATAAATTAATTTCTTTCTGCTAATAGCAGCTAATTTCATAGCATATAATTCACCAATAATATACATATATACTTTGAAGAATTTGTGTGTGCGTGTCGGTGTACCCCAATACCAGGGCAAAAAATTCAGAAGATGACGTATATACATATGCTACCATAATTTGGCATCACTTCAAGACAGGACAAACAACCATGCATGGGCATGTAACTAAAAGATAAAGATAAGTTTATGCTGCAGCATGAATACAATCAATAAAAAGACAAAAAGTGGAATAAAAGAAATGACAATATTACTCAAGCTTGGAGAAACAAGACTTGATTGTACAAACTATTTGCACCGCATAGCAGATCTGCGTCGTGCAGTCTTGCTTGTATGTGTTGCATGTCCATCTACAAACTAAATAAAGCGGCAAGAGAACCATGTGCTCTTCATGCAGGCTAACAATGAGAACTACCGAAATATGCGGTATGAGGACCCTTCTTGCTGCTTTATTTAGTCTATAGATTAACAGGCAACCACATTCAAGCAAGACTGCATGGTGCAGGTCTGATATGCGGTGCATAGTAGTTTGTACAATCAAGTCATGTTTGTCTAGGCTTAAGTAATATTGCTATTTCTTCGATTCCACTCTTTGCTTTTTATTGATTGTCTTCGTGCTGCAGCATAAACTTATCTTTGTCGTCTAGCTACGTACTCAGCATGCAAGGTTGTTTGTTATGTCTTGAGGTGATGCCAAATTATGGTAGCACATGCATACAAGTCTTCTTCTGCAATTTTTGCCCTGATGTTGGGGTCTTCCACGCCCCAAATTTTGATAGTATTCTATCAAAGTATCCTAATATTTATATAGAGCACTGGAATTTCCATTGCGTAAAGTACTGTAGCTTTTATTCAGGATGTCCTTATATATATATGATCTAAAATATGTACTACAGAGAACTTTATTTACACGGTGATCTGAGTGATGCGCTACAGTGATATGTATTAGGACAGCTGAACGACACCGAAGCAAAAGTGTTCTAACCGTAATCGGTTTTACCGTCGAACATTTTTGCTGTAGCATGCTGATTTTGTACCGTTCGATGAAGATCCAACGCATCAGAACATGAGCTAACGCAAGGACTATAGCGCCTCTGCATTCTTCTTCTTCAATGCAAAGAATCCCAAACCAATACTAGCTATGTAATTGCATAATTAACCTTATGTTATATTATAGGATACTTAATCGCTCTCTACTACTGCAGAGGATCCAAGCTGCAGTATAAGTGGCAGCTGAAAAGGCAAGCTCAACTAAATGGGCCTAATTAATAATCCTACAAAATTAATTCCAGTCAAAATTTTCCGGTTTCAGGGAGAGCCTGACCGATCGTAGGGCTGGTTTAGTTCGCGAAAAGAAAATGTTTCGATGTCAGATCGAATGTTTTACCGGATGTCAGAAGGGGTTTTCGGACACGAATGAAAAAACTAATTTCATAACTCGCCTGAAAACCGCAAGACGAATCTTTTAAGCCTAATTAATCCGTCATTAGCACATGTAGGTTACTGAGCACTTATGGCTAATCATGGACTAATTAGGCTCAAAAGATTCATCTTGTGATTTCCCCCTAACTATGCAATTAGTTATTTTTAAACATATATCTAGTACATGAGATTCGATGTGATGTTTTTGAAAAAAAAAATTGAGAACTAAAACAGGCGTTAGGTCATTGGTACAGGTATGGAGGGACCTGATCGATCGCCATCTGTGATCTCCGAGGATGAGAAAAGGACCCGGTCACCGCCGTCGACGTTTCCGATCGACCCATACCGGCCTCTCCGGCAAATGGAGCATGTAGCATCCATGGATGGTCTCTTTCTGGGGCAGCATATATGCAGATCACATGTCAGATAAGGCAGGTAGCATGGCCCCCCCTCAATAATGGGTTCCAATGTACCTTTCTTCACGTGAATATATGCGTGTGATCACATCCAGCTTCCTTTTTTGTGTACGTGTGTTGCGCAGGCGAAATGCGACCGATGAAACGAAGAGCATTATTACGAGGCCATTCGCAGTGCGGTGAGATGACATTCGGCCTCGTCTCGTCTCGCCAGCTCGAAGATTCCATGCCACGTCGGCGTGAGTCGTGACCTAGTGAAGAAGAACCCAAGCTGTCGATTGAACGCACAAACCTCGTCAGGGATTGTCAGGTGGAAGGCACTCGGTGACAAAAGAAACCGCGTTGGGTGGTCATGCTCATGCCCCAGTCGGAGCTGGTGCCCTCCTAAACTTCCTCCTCCGCCGCCGTCGTTGAGCTGTTGCCGCTGTTGTCGAGCCGCCACTGCCATCGTTGAACCTACCCCACCGCCATCATCGAGCTACCGCCGTTGCGGTTCCTGCCGTTGGCATCGTCGAGCACCCGCCGTCGTCGTTGAGTTGCCACCGCCTCCCAAGGCCAGATCCCGCCGGATCTGGCAAGGAGGGGATGAGGAGTGGCCGGATCCTCCTCCGCCGCCACCCCGACGAGGAAAGGGGAGGGGGGCGCGGATAGGGAGGGAAAGCAGCATTGGCGATGGTGGGAAAGGGGAGTGTGGCCGGCGATGGAGCGAAAGGTTGCGCAAGTGTTGAGGGAAAAGGGGGCGGCTGAGAGGGGGGAGGGAGAGCGGTGCCAACGATGGTGGGGAAGAGGAGCGTGGACGGCGGTTGGGCGGAGAGCTGCGAAGTTGCCCGTCCACCTCGCCGTCTCCGTCCGGCGGCTCGGTGCTGAGAGAGAGAGAGGGAGGGGAGAGGATAAAGGGAAAAAGTGAGAAAGATGGTAGTGGTGGGACCTACTACTAGCAACTTTGCATTGTGAAGCATGTGGCTAACAACGTTCTTGACCTAGGAGACATGTGAGGTTCAGCAAAACTCCGTGTCACACTGTGAATGGTCTGGGTGTGTGTGATCAAGCTGGTGTTTTAATTCTTTATTACTTTATGATACTTCGTGCTTTGCTATTATAGTGAAGCTAGAAATCTTGTAAGCCTAAAGCTCGAGTAAGACTTAACTAATAGGATATTGATTTTCTTAAAAAAATACAAACACATATTCATCTATATATTTCACAACTGGAGCAGAGGCAAGACAGATAGGGCAGCTTGGGCTTAAGCTCTAGAATTGCCTTCATAATCATATCTGTACTTTTTTAAATCAAGTATTATTAAAAATGATGAATAGATACGTTGAGTTAAAATTTTGTGGAAATGGTGCGAGGGTTAACCATATTCTCGTCTTCACTATGTATATATAAAACCCTATGATTATCTTGATATGTATAATTAGACATAAAACCGTTGTTATGAGATATGAGTGGACTTGTTTCTCATAAAACTGTCTCTTGCTCCCACAATCAATGCATGACCAAGGTAGATATTCCAGTGCATCCAATGATCAGAAACTCGTCGCCGCGGTCACAAGTTGGTTATGGTAACTCCGCTAGCTGACTGTAAGGAACCGCTCGGCATTTCGTAGATCCATCTTTATCCATCGATCTAAAAAAAATTCAAATTAAACATTGACATACATATACCACTTAATACGAAAAATAAATCTAAAATTAATAGAGCCCTGGTACACATCTAAAAAAATAAATTTCTAAATTCATGATTAATAAACTCTAAATCACTCCAAGATTGATAATTTCTAAGTTTCTCCAAGATTAACATTCTCTACATTACTCAAATATTCAAAAATAATAATATCTAAATTAATCAAAGTTCAACATTAATAATGTCTAAATTACTCCAAGCTTAATAATCCCTAAATTACTCAAAATAAAAATCAGCATTACTAATTTCTAAATTACTCTAAGATTAATAATCTCTAAATTACTGTAAGATTCAAAATTAGTTATATCTTAATCAATTAAAATTCAACATCAATGTAAAAAAAATCACAATCATATCATTCATAGTTTGTGTACACTCTCTTATTTTCTAACTTTTACCATATAATGGTTGCACTTAAAACAAATTAAGATTCAAAATATTGATCTAACTCAACAAAAGAAATTAAAAAATTGAGTTGAGAAAAACGCATAGAGAATCAAGATAAAATAACCTTCAAGTACCAGTGGTGTGGTGGTGAAATTGTGGGGTGCATGGCTTTACCCAATAGGGTTTAAATCCTAGTGCGCATGAATATTACGCACATACAATTACGCTTTCAACAGGGATTTAGTGACATTAGGGATATGCCACTGGTTTCCATTTCTTAAAGCATATGTTAGGTGACATATTCATGGGGATGTGTGTTTGGCATTGCATGTAATGGTGTGTGTGCGTATGCGTCTGCCGACTGTCGTGTAATCGCAAAAAGTAAAATATCTCCAAACTTTAAGGGTCTGTTTGGTTGCTTCGCCCAGCTAGCCTAGCTCCGCTAAGCTAAACCATCACATTGCCAGCTTGCTAACCTTGCTGTACATACTGTGTTTTTGGTTGGTTTGCTTCCTAGTGTGCGAGCAGAGTTTTGCCGTCGAAGGCTAGCCAAATCGGCTCTCCCGAGCCAGCGAGATTTTTCTCGCCCCGCAAGGCTAGATTGCTCCTAAAAGCTAGCTTTTTTAACCGGTTCCAAACAGCTAGCCTTGCTAGGTAAGGCTAGGCTAGCCTTTACCAAGGAACCAAACGGACCCTAACTTACTAAGAACCAAAAATAGGATTTATAATTGTTGAGTGAATACTACATCCGCCGTTGGATCAGCACTGATGGTGAATGGAGCAACGAGGGCAGTGCTCATGATGCGAGGATGGAGCTATATTTGGAGTGAGAGGAGACTATAGAGCACCACGTGAGAGCCAGTCCCTACCAACGTTAACGTGTGGAAGGGGGACCTATCAGGTCTCATGTTCGTCAACTAAACCATGACTATGGCGAGAGTGTACAAGGTCGCCACCTTTACTGCCCCCCCCCCACCCCCCCCCCCACACACACACACTGGGTGTTGCATTCTCTACAAGATGGGTGGTGTTTTTGCCTTTGCGCCTATACACTCATGCAGGGAACTTGAACCGCTCGGTCTTGTCTTTGAAGCGAAGCTCCGAGCTGGCGTTAAGTTTCTTAGGGCATGTTTGATGCAGCTCCAGTTCCAGCTCCATCTCTTTTGGAGCTCATCTATAACGTGTGGCAACACGTATCTGTGTCGGAGAAAAGCCTCGTCAGTGAATATTGGTCTCATCAGTGACGAGTGAACATATCCGACAGCAAGATTCATCTTTGGTCCGGTGGTAAGTTACCACCCGTCATGGATGACTCTCATCCATGACGGTTCATAATTATGAACCTTCATGAAGATGAGAATATATGTTTCTTGAATTTTAAATGCAAAAAGAAGAATATTTTTCATATTACTAGGACATTCCAACCATGGTCACACCTCACTAGCTAGAAATTCATGATTTTTCAAGTGACTTTTAAAAATTGCACGTCATAGTTGGATTCGAACTTAGGACCTTCCAATAGGCAATAGGTACATAGGGGTATAATCATTATTTAGCAGTCACTAAACATTTTTCTCTTTTTTTCCTTTGGCTTTTTCAATGGGATATAAACGATAGCAGCGCAATGGATGACCACAAATCGATCTAGATCGGAAAAAAAAATACATAA